GGAAGGAAGGAAGGAAGGAAGGAAGGAAGGAAGGAAGAAGAAAAGACTGCTGGACAGTGGTGGCCCACGCCTTTAATCCCGGCAGAAGCAGGCGGATGGGTCTCTGTGAGTTCGAGGTCAGCCTGGTCTACAAAGTGAGTTCCAGGACAGTCAGAGCTGTTACACAGAGGAAACCCTGTCTCAAAAAACCAAGAAGAGAAAGAAGGAAGGAAGGAAGGAGGGAGGGAGGGAGGGAGGAAAGAAGGAAGGAAGGAAGGAAGGAAAATGGAAGGAAAGGAGAGAGAGAGAGAGAGAGAGCGAGAGCGAGCGAGCGCGAGCGCTGTGTGCCCCATAATGGTGTGTGAACAAACACTAAGAATAGGCTGGAAACGCTGCTACCGCTGACACTCCCAACCTGACACAGTCATTCCATCTGCTGGGTACTTTCCTCCCACTGACTTCCGCCTTTCTTGGTCAGTTCCTTTCAGCTTGGTCTAGGTGCTATTTGAGCCGCGCCGGAACCTTTACGACCCAGAGTCAATGCTGTGGCAGCAGCCATGGGAGGCGGGAATGCAGAAAGAGGTGTAAGTCAAGGAGTTTTCCCGGGGTCCCTTTCTTGCAAGCTGCTGGAGGTTGTCACAAATGAAGAGCTAAGCAAAGGTGGCCCCTCTTTCGGGGGGCTCCCAGAGTCCATCCCGTGTTGGGTCAGCAACGGGATCCACCCGGTGGAGAAGGCGCCTGGCACCCGAGGACTGTGCAACGGAATGTGCCCCACCCTCGCGCCACGGCTGGCATCAGCCCAGCCCAGACGGCCGAACTATGTCTGGACTCCATCTATGTCGCTGTGTCGAGGAGAAGGGCGACGCTGCGGATCCCACCGTTCCCCGGGGACTCAGGAACCCACCCGGCCTAGGGCACAGGTGCATGCTTCAGAGACCCCGAGGTCTCCGCGCGGAGCCCAGCGTGCGCCCCGCCATCTGGATGGGGACCCAGGACACCCTTGAAGGCCTTTCCCCAGTCGGCCCGTTACTTACCTCAGGGTCGCACCAGGCGCTCCCACCGCTCGGTGCAGCCTTAGCTGCGTAGACACCGGAGCGGGAGTCGGTCCGCGCTCGGGCCCGCCCCCTACCCCCCATTGGTTGGCCCGGGAAGGGGCGGGGCCGAGAAGGCGCTCGCCTGTCTGCGAGGCCACAGGAGGTCCCGCTCCGGACACTGGCGGGTCCGCGCCGCGGGAGCCCAAGTTGCTCTGCGGGACCTAGGGACCCACGGGCTCAGCGACCGCCCGCTGATCGCGTGGTGCGCGGCCGCTGCAGAGCTGCCCGCGACAGGTGCGAACTCAGGGGATCCGCTGGGCCGTCCGGTCCTCGCTGTCGGGGCGTCGCGCCCGGGCCCGGCCGGCTGCCGGTGGATGCGCGTCCGCTGAGCGTCCGAGATGGCCGTGCGTCCTGGGCCACTCTGGCTGCTGGGCCTGGCTCTGTGCGCTCTGGGCGGCGGCCACGGCCTGCGTCCCCCACACACCTGTCCCCAGCGTCGCCTGGGAGCGCGCGAGCGCCGAGACATGCAGCGAGAGATCCTGGCGGTGCTCGGGCTGCCTGGGCGGCCCCGACCCCGTGTGCCACCTGCTGCCTCCCGGCAGCCAGCGTCCGCGCCCCTCTTCATGCTGGACCTGTACCACGCCATGGCCGATGACGACGACGGCGGGCCCCCTCAGCCTCACTTGGGCCGTGCCGACCTGGTCATGAGCTTCGTCAATATGGGTGAGTGCGAGGGCCCCTGGTGGCAGCAGTCTCCATGCGGAGTGGGCATAGCCGCCTATCTGTGGATAATGTCCTCAGGTAGTGCCCCCTGGGAGCCAAGGTGCAGCAGCAGCACGGGGAAGAGGCGATTATAGGGGTCAGGGCTGGAAGGTCTGAGGGCTAGCGCGAGTTCCCAGGACCTTTGCCCGCCAAGGTACCCAGGAGTGGGAATCTGGTGATGCCCAGGTCTCCTAGGCCCAGGTCGCGGTTGGTCCTGGGAAGACTGATGAGTAAACAGAGACCGTGATGCTGTCATTGTGATAAACGCAGCCCAGAAGAGAGGGACAAAGTTCATCGTGGAAACCTGTGGTCATATCATCAAAGTGACCAGAGCTGACCCATACGCCCTGACAGCAGGTTCTTTCTGGGCAGCAGGAAGCGGGTGGGTGGGGTGCACTGTCAGGAGGTGGAGTGGACGGACCCAAGCCATGACTGTAGTTCTGTGGGACTGGGCCCCAATATCTGGACCTTGGTCTGGCGTGGAGTGAGTGTTCAGGGCAGTTAATGGTCCAAGGGGCAGCTGTGAGTCCATTCTCCCAAAGTGTGGCTCTTCCTTTTCCCATGTATCTCTAGACCTCAGGGCCACCTTCTCCTACTAGTCTTTTTTTTTTAGTTTATGTGTATGGGTGTTTTGCTTGCATAGATGTCTATGCATCACATTCGTGCCTGCTGCTGGAAGAGGCTAGAAGAGGGCATCAGATCCCCTGGAACTGGAGTTACAGTTGTGAGCAGCCACGTGGGTGCTGGAAAATCAAACCCCCGTCCTCTGGAAGAGCAGCCAGTGCTCTTAACTCCTGAGCCGTCTCTCCAGCTACCTCCCCCACCTTTAAAAAAATATTTTCCTTTATGTATATAAGGTTTTACCTTCATATATGTATGTGTACCAAGTGCATGCAGTGCCTCATGGGGGCAGAAGAGGGCGTCAGATCCTCTGGGCCTGGAGTCAAAGATTATAGGAAGTCATGAGCAGTGGGTCCTCTTAACTGCTGAGCCATCTCTCCAGACCCAACCTCTAATAGTCTGAAAGGTACTTTTCCAGAATACCTTTTCATCGCAGTCGGTCAGGTCCTCACCTGTTTTGCTGACGCTTGTGGTGGGTCGGGGCCTGAGCGGACACTAGGCTGGGTCGGTCTGAGTACCAGGCCTTGAGCTGAGAGCAGGGAGAGGACCTTGCCATGGTCACCAGCCCCTGCACAGCCTAACTTGTCCTTCTTGCAGCCGGGTAAACAGCCACGGTCTCTACGCCCATTGCCCAGGGATGGGAGGGAGACACAGAGAGGTAGTGGCTGCCCTGAAATAGCTCTGCATCCAGAGCTCAGGCTGGTGGTATTTCCTCCAAGATGCTTTTGATAGGGCATGGGCAGAGGAACTCGGGGGACTGGACAGCAGGGGGGGTGTCCTCAGCCACTTGTCTTCCTCCCAGAAGGCAGGAAGAGAGGGCAGCCAAGCCTCTGTTTCCCATCCAGAGCTGGTGGTAGCTGAGGTAGGGTAGAGCAGAGCCCAGCAGAAAGGCAGCTTTAGCTGATATAGCCCAGCTCCAAGGAGGGATCTAGATACGGCCTTTCTGCTCAGAGGGCAGGGTGGGGATTTAGGACAGACCACATGTGAGGCTGTAACTGCCTCTCAGTCCTTAGGACAAGCTGACCCAGGGCTTAGGACTAAGAACTAAGGATAGAGTTGCCCAAGAATGTCCCCAGAGGAGCTGCCGATCAGAATGAATCACCAGCCCATGTTCTGCACCCCGCCCCCCATCCTCGGTCAAAACCTGAAGAGCTCTGGTGGGAGCTGGTGCTGTACACAGAGGAGGGCCTGCTGCTGCTGCTGCTGCTGCTGCTGCTGCTGCTGCTGCTGCTGCTGCTGCTGCTGCTGTGCAGCTTTAGAGGAGTCCCTTGTGTCTGAGCCTAACATATGTCCCTTTAAATGGGACTCCCTGGCCAGCACTCCAGAGGCAGAGGCAGAGTCTGGTGGATCTCTATGAGTTCCAGACAAGCCAGCCAGGGCTATAAAGTGAGACTCTGTCTGAAAATAGATGAATATATGGGGCCCCTAGTGACCTGTCCTCAAGGTTATATGACAGACTGACAAATGAACAGGGGCAGAAAAGCAGCTTCCCTTCCCTTTGAGTGTGAACTGGGCCTGGCCACTGCCGTCCCCCCCCACCCCACCCCCAGTGTGAGCAGGAGCCAGGCCACTGCCGCCCTCAGCCCTGCCAGCTGCAGCCCAGCTTTGCAAGTAAAGCAATACAATCAATGTGGCTGCATGTGGTGAATCACGACTGTAAACCTAACACTTGGGAGGCTGAAGCAGGAGGATTGCCATGGCTTCAAGGCCAGCCTGGGCTCCACCATATATTTAAAGCCATCCAGACCATCAGAGTAACAGCAGACCTTGTTGAAAGAAAGATGGCGGGAGAAGGAGAGATGGAAAGAAGGGAGGGAGGGAAATTAGCCCCGTGTGCCTGTGTCTCGTGCACACTGAAACCTAGAAATAGTTTCTAAAAGCCAGCCAATGGCGGTGTGTCCTGTGTTCAGAAGAAAAGTTAGCCTTTGACCTTTACATCCTTCCAGTTCTCGGTTGGTTGGGGCAACAGTACATGAACCTGTTTTTACCATCCTGTTTCATGGTCCCAGAGAAGATAAATAGCAGGACCAGGACACAGCATTAGGCCACATCCATCTAAACCCTGTTTCCCCCACACTCACTGACCCCCTCTCCCCACCCCCCAACCACCGCGTGTAGGATCTGTGGAGTTAACAACAGGTCTATGTTGAACACAGACTCACTGTGGG